CTCATTGTGTATCAAGGTGATAGCTAGCATGCTATGATCCAGATCATTGCTTCGATGGGATAGTTTGCTCTCTGGCTAGCTTACCTCTGAGAAACTTGCTGACATGAAATTAAAACTGTAGCAAAAACAACCTATAGGCAAAATATTGGTGTATGAAAAATTATTAAAATTGCTAATAACTTAGTCTGTATAATTTTTCAGGTCTCACAAATCCACCCAAATTTAGGTACCATGAAGACCACCTAAATTATAAAGGGCTCTGAGTTATCTCAAGGTATTTATATACGTGCAGCTAAATTTGTGTTCCCTAGATTCAGTGCAACAAACCTTGGAGCACATGGTCACAATCTTAAAGACTTCTGCAGTTCATCAAGAAGCCAAAGCTTTGGCCATGTGTCCTCAGGTGACTGATTAGGTAGTATTTGTACACCTCTATAGAAAAATAACAGGTTTGTATTGAGAAGTATGTAAATATTAGGCATTATGTTTATTAACTATGTTTTCCTGGCTGACGTAATCTGTTAAATTGTTAAATTTACTGTTGATTATATTTAGCAGGCGTTCCTGATCTATACTTGTGGGGTCCCCTCTTCCACAGTGTCTGTGGACCTCACATTACTTGAAAGAATCCTGTGAAGCAGGAACGTGGAACTGTCCTTGTTTGATAGGAAGAACTGAGACTTGATGCTGTGCCGAGACTTGTCCCCCGCCATGAGCAAGCGTGCGTGCTGACCCTGCCATGCCTGCTGTGTGGAGCCATGCTATGGGCTGTGGGACGGGTGCCTGGAGCCGTCCTGGGGTCCCTGTGCTATGCCCCACCATGCAGCGTGGCTGGGTGGCAGATGAACCACTCATGGTTGCATGGGGGGAGCACTGGGTTTTCGAACACTTGTGGGGAAGCTTTGGCCCATTCATCTTCTCCCCTAAGGCGCTGCGTGGAGTGAGCCCAGAATTAATCTGGGCATCCACCATGCCTGGGGGAGAGTCTGCCACGTTGTGTAAGGCTTAGACAATCAAGTTTCATTCAGGCTTGTAGCAAGGCAGTGACAGTGCAGGGCGCTCCCTGCCCCCGTGGGCTGAGAGGGGCAGGGGTGTCTGCTGGCCAGGGTGCCTCCTACCCCAGCTGCTGGTGGCTTTCCAGGGAGAGACAGCCCTGCCCATGCCACTCTCGTGCCCTCGCCTTGCCCTGGGCTGGCTTCCTTGGGAAGGCAGCACCGGGCTGTCCGCAGCCATCGTGCCTGTCTCCTGAAGCAAGGCATTTCTCCTCCATCTCAACAGACCTTGGTTTAATTTGGGTGGCGAGTGTTTACAAATGATTATATCTTCTACTTAATAATGCTCCTGCGGCAGCTGTTTTGTCCATCATCATGATGTAAATGTTTTCACCCAAAGATCCTTGGATACTTACTAATGTGGTATACTTTCTCATGTGTTTGCTAATTGCTATTTATTTGCCTGAGAAACTTGCTGAATTCATAACGTATATTTTTTCTGCTCTATTACTGTTTCGGGGTAATGTTTAATCCACTACTTGAAACAGCTTTTTCATTATAGTGAAGACTACAATAAATTGCTAAACTGAAAGAAATGGAACTAAGCTCCTTTAGCTTAAATTCGCCGAGCTTTTGTTTTGAGGTTTAACAGTGAATCTTAGAAAGCTTGTTTTTCATTTGTCCTGAAACCTTGCCCCTCCTGCCTCCCCCTTTTCATGCCAATGAAAGGTAACCAGAGACAGCTGGGGGCTCTCTTTCTGCCTCCCTTGAATGGGAGCGTCTTCTGAATGCCTCTTTCATGTACCTGCAAAGACCCCGCTCTGCTAAACCCTACGGCCGAGGTTCTCAAAGGTTGAATAGGTTTTCATTGCCTGCATTTCTGGTCTGAAGCAGACTGAGAGAAATGAGTGTTAAGTAAACGCGGTGGCAGCCCTGCCAGCGTCAGCATTCCAGCCCGCAGTGTTGCTCCGGACTGGGACACTGCCGGCACAGGCTTCTGCACATCCAGCTGTCGGGGGGTTGTTTTACTTGTTAGCAGTTGAAAAGAAGAGGGATGCGAGGTAAAGCAGAGAGTGGCGAGTCTAGTTTTTATTAGGCTGTTTATTCTTTCTATAACAAGTGTGTGGTGCCTTATTGATGTTGAATGGGAATTTAATACAGCGATAAAGTAAAACTGTAAACTTACCAAGTCTGTTTTCAGCTGCCTTTGTTCTCTGCCTCTAAGCATCTGCAGAAAACGTGTTCAACAGCACTCAAAACACTTCTGTGAAATAATATGAGACCTTATTCAGCACTTTCTGCAGAGAACTGATCACCCTGCTGCACCTGATTGAAGGCAACAGAAAAGGGTCTGTCTGTCTGTCCATCCATACCAGGCCTTTCGCAGGTGAAGTCGGTGTTTGCAGGCTTTTAAAGTGAAAACAGAGTTTTTGTTTGCAGTTTTCTGTCATGAGCATTTTAGAAATATTCTGTTGTGGTTTAAAGATCAAGATTTAGGAAACACAGGTACTTGATACTAGAGGGCTTTGGATTTGGTGGTTTTATTAGGGCAGACTCCAAACACCCAGCTTACCGTGGGAGTTACACATGGAAGGATTGTGCATTCACAACGCGCTAACTGCGACGTCAGGGCATTGTCTCTTGCAGCAGGCGAAAGAACCTGAACTCCATGAATTAGGGCTTTGTTTCCGCCTAGGCATTGCATAGGCAGGAAAGTTTCCCCCTTCTACCAAAATAACCCTATTCCTTACCACACGTAGGCACTCATACCAGTTCAAGACCTTCCCAAGTGAAGACAGTTTTATTCAGGAATGAGAATCTGCGTTCAAGAAGGTATCTTGATGTGAATGTAGCATGGGTTACACAGGTCCTTCCACCTTGCTTTCTTCCAGTTGCTGCTCTGAGAGCTAGAGAGGTTACTCCTGTCCCAGCTGCTGGTTCAAGGTCTTTCTCTGGGTGATACCATTCCCTTAGCTCTGCCATGTAGCTGACTTGGATGATACTCACTTTCCTATTTCACTCCCACTGAGCTGGTGGCTGTAGCTGGGCATCTTGAGACATGTCAGCATTATCTAGTTAAGGTACCTAACAGAACAGTACTAGTGATGGCCAGAGTAGTGTCATGGTGTTGTTAGTGTTGACTTCTCGGCCTGGTATGTGTGATGTTGGGAAGAAAATGGCAAGTAAAAAGGCTTGTGGCTGGATCATCAGTACAGGTGTGACCATAGGAATGGGAGCTGGGAAGAGTCACTAACATAATGCATGTATTTTTCTGCAGCAGTCCTATGCCACCCGTGGCAGACACGATGGCAGATGTTGCAGAAAGGTCCTGCAGTGGAGGGGGTGTCTGCGACCCACCTCACCAAAGCGGGCCAGTGCGTTTCTTCTGTGCTCTGCAGCACTGCTGCTTCTGGGACCCAGGGTCTAGCTCCATGCCAGTAGGCTTCTGAATGCTCAGAAACATGAGCTAGAGTAACTCGCCCCACTAATTTTCAACTATGAGTTCCCACAGCATCTGAAGTCACGTTTACAAAAACACGTGTGTAGAGCTGCTAGTCTTCAACAGTTGTCCCAGAGGAAAACTCACATATTGACTCGGGAGCAGCTACTGATGAAGAATGCTTCAACTTCTTGGAAACTGGACGTAAAACACCTTCAGACAGGTGTTTTTTCTGTAATGCTCAGAGCCAGGCTCGATGCGCCTTAGATTTAAAGGAACGAGAGTCACAAGTTCTTGAAAAGGAAGGCCCTTTCCCCCTCTCTTTCCCCTTTTTTTATTCTTGCATGTACGTGTTACCATGCCATCAGGACTTTTTTTTTTTTTTTCACTCCTAACTGATGGTGCTGTGTTATTTGAATAGTAATTATTTTCAGGTTTGTGTGTAGCTGTTTGTCAGTTTATTGAAACGAACTGCCATTGCACCCTGATCAAAGCGGAGAGCATGAAATCCCACGTGTTGCACTTTGGAGAGCACCAACAATGAAGCTAACCTTTCACCCTTGACTTTCTTTTGACCCTAATTTTGAAAGACAGTAGTGAACAATTCAGCTAACTTCTTAAGTGAAAGAATATTCAAACGAGCTCGATTGTAATGCAGCGTCCTTTTCAAGTGAATGGAAAATCTCAGGGTAATGCATACAAATATAGAGGCTGGGTAAGTTCATTACTTTGGAGTTTCTGGTGTGGCAATAGCAGTGAAATGGTTAAAAGGTTGGCTTTAAAGTGGTCACAATTAGGCTTCAAAGTTAACACCCCACCCCACTGAGATGAATGGGAGCAGTTGACATTTCTCAGTGCTATTGTTTCAGTCTGGCTTGCTATAGCTTCTAAAATAAGTCAACAGTACATCTGTTTACATTCTGCTTCCGCAAACCCAGATGGGCTAGGAACTTCATTGTTTTTTAAGTGGAAGCTTAGATTCTGGAGAATACAGCAATATCCACGGGGTATCTGTAGGAAGAAGAGCTGAAAGCTGCCTTAATCACAGACATCTCCCCCTTCCCTGTAAACTTCTATTGTCCCAGGACAAATCTGTAAACCACTGAGGGGAAAAATAAAGTCATGTGTATTTGAAGTACTTTTTACTTACTACATGACATGCAGACAATAACTTCTCAACAAGTCCCTAGCGTGCAAATCTTCGAAAATGGATGTGGGGTTTGGAACGTTTTCTCTTTTAGTGAGTAGCGTGCGCTGTAAGAGAAGGTAAAGGTCCTGCTTTTACTGAACGCGGTAGCTTCTCGTAACCTCTCCTAACAGAAAAACTTCTCCCATCTCTAGAGAAGTCAGAGTTTCACCCAGGAGCGCTTGAGACCAGGTGTTACTTTCTCTGTTCATGTGTGGAATCCTTTAATTTAACTCTGAGAGCAATATAAGAAGAAATAAGATTCTTGAGGGGGTATGCCTTGCGTTTTTCTGATACTTTAATAGGGCAGCTACAGTAACTGCAGTAAGATCTTAGGAGCTGGAATGGATTAATAAAGGTGCAAGTAGGGTTTTTTAGTGTCCTCTCTGACTTTTGTTGAGGGGTCTGCACAGTGGCAAACTGCCCTTGGTAGCAGCCAGAACCCTCTGAGAGCTTCTCTGATAAACGCAGCCCATTAGATATGCTTAGGCTGTAGATTGAAACCAGCTGTGAATCTGTCGGAAAGATTTTCCTCATTGTGCTTTCACCAGGGTGGAAAGTTTGCGGCTTGTTCTGCATATATATGTATTTTGGGCTTCATCGCTCTGACTGTGCGAGCCCTAGAGCCTGCCAGTGATAAGAGCTCTCATGCATACAGGCTCCTTTTGTGGGTTGGCACCCAGAGACCCTGCCTGCCTTTTGCCCATGGACAACACAGCTTGTGCTTCGGAAGTGACATTGTGGGCTCTTCCAAATGGTGTCTCCCAGATTTCAACCCCTGGTGGATTGTACGGTGAAGGCAAGTGTGCCATCTGTGGTTTGGGCTTGTGAAGCTTGTTGCCTGCCCAGCCTCAAGCAGCATTTTCACCCAAGTATAAAACAAAGCGGTGCTGAGCCTGGACGGGCCTCCAGGTTGTTGGAGGCAACCGTGGGCATTTCAAGCGTGTTAAGCTGTCTCCTCTCTTGTCCTTCTCTTCAGTTCCTGTGTTAAGTGGGGGAGTGCAGCAATCTGGTCTGTATGAAGAAAATACCTGAGGAAACCCAAGAGGAATATTTATTTTGAAAGCTTCTCTCATGAGTTTGTTTTATCTATTTTAAAAAAAATTACTTTAAAAATAAAATAGTGTTAAATCATGCTGGAGAAAAGCAATTCCAATGTGACAGAAGTACAGCGTGCGACAAGAGCCACTTGATACAGCTACCGGAGGAAGGGCGTGTTATTCAGTCAAACAGAGGGTTAGAGAACGGCATCAAATATACATTTTTTATGTTTGTTTCCACTTTCCATTTCCCTAGTCCATTTCTGACTGTGGATCTCTACAGTGTTGCATAGACATGAGTTATGTCTTAATGCATCTTGTGGAGGAAAATAGGTATCTATTCGACCTTTCAAATATAGCCAAAATGACTTCTGTAAGGCTACAGTAGGTCAGTGGCAGAGCTTGGAAAAGAAGTTAGGAGACATGTTGGCTAGTTATGTATATTTTAACTAGCAAACTAACCTGCTTCCCTGTATTACAATAGCAGTGTGATACCCATGTGTTCAGAAGCCCAAGCTTTGTATTCTCCCCTGACATGGAGAATTTCCTGCCTAGACCTGAAGAAAAAGTTACTGTAGCTTCTCTACCACTTGTGCCCTAACCTGCTTTTTACCTCAAATTCAAAGGGGATTTTGAATTGTCTTTTAGGGAATAGGAAATACCGGGGATTCAAAGGGACAAATCCAGACAGGGCAGGGATCTGCCATCATGATGACGTTATACTGCAACTTCTGAAAAATTAACGTATTATGAGAAAAAAAAAAATTTTAATTTTTTAACTTTGTGTTGTTTTATTTTTCTTTCAGAAAAAAATATGGAGCCTTCCATTTTAAGACTATTTAGTTTTGAGTAAATTCTGCATTTCCCTTTTGTGATTTCTTTATCAATTTATAGTTTGCATGCTTACTGCTCCCAGTCTCTTTGCTAGTCTGAGCTTGCTTGCAGACTGGTATGTGCCACTAAGCAGCAGAATTCTAGTTCTCTTTGAGCAGCTTGGTACATTACGGCAGTTGTTATCCTATGGAAGAGGGATGCAGTCACTCCTGTGGCTTTCATGAGAGAAATAGGAGAAGAGCCCAGCAAACTGAAACAAAATTTTTCAATTCATGAATACTAAAAATTGGAATTTCTTCCCCAAAGTAACATCAAAGTTTTATTTCTTACTGGAAATTCTTTTTAAAAAAAAAAAAAGAAAAAAAATGTATATCTACATATTCTTCCCAGTTTAGGAAAAAAATGTTGAATACTGAAGTATTTTATAGGATTAAATTGCCATCTTTTTTTCAGCTCTTATTATGGTAGTGATGTACAGGGATTCTTGCTTTCTTGCTTGCCTGCTTGCTTGCCTGCTTGCTTGCTTTCTTTCTTGCTTTCTTTTTCTTCTTCCTTTTTCCACCCTAGACAATGAAAATAATTTAATCTAACAGCTTTTACATTGTGGTCTGCGGACCAGAGCTGGCTTGTAAAACTTTTTCTTTCAGTGGTTTTATTGTTCAAGAACTGATGCTTCCTGTTACTTCTGGCCATGCGTTTTGATTTTGTGAATGAGTATGCATAGACAAAAGAAGAAGAATACTAATCAAGTATATACCTTTTGTACAGCTTTACGTTCTCAGTAAATCAAAACCAACATCAGAACTGCAGGGTAACAACTCCTCTCAAAGATGGGGTCAACTGAAAAAAGACAGAAATGGCAGCAGTCAATAAGGGAAATCTGGGACTTCTTCATGTCGGGCATTCAGTAAGGAAGAGGAAACAGCACAGGTAAAACGTAACACAGAGTATTGGCTCTGACTGCACATATTTTAAACTTGATGACATAGAAACTGTGTTTTGGTTGCTTTTCAAGGAACAGAAAGTTGATGGAGTTCTGCTTGATGGCGAGGACTAACAAACCAAGTAGAGATCAATTGTGATTTGAATAGATAAGCGAGAGCCACGTGATCTTAGCTGCTGCATCATACGGAGTTTTTTGTTTCCATATTGCTTGTTGTGGTTTTACTATTCTAATGCTTAATTTTTGTGTAGTTTGAAGGCTGTTGTGTACGTGACTGGATTCACTCCTTACTGGGATATAGGCCAAGATTTTCAAAGTGATGGTTTATTTTGAGCGCCTCCATTTTTTAAGGGTCCAAACCTGAGAAATTTTAGAGAAGGGTGGCTTTAAAGGAGTGCAGAGCACACACCTTCTAAAACAGCTGTGTTTGGGCTGTATTGATATGGCACAGAAAAATGAAAGAAGACAAAAAGGATGCAATTGAAATCTTTATTCATTCTTCACCGTTTCGGTGTCCAATCGTTGGTTTTCTGAATTGGGGCAAGCAGATTTGGGTACTGCTGTGCTGGAACCTGGAATGTGTAGCCTACTGCGATCCAGGCTAAAGGAAGCAAAGTGTGACAGCACCCTGACTCTGCACTTCTGCAAGCTCCTAACTGCCCTAGGACTTTATCGAGGATTTAGATGTGGTCTTCTGCTAAGATGGTGGAGTGGTCAGTGCTGGCTGTACCATATGGGGCATAGATGTAAAAGCTACAGAATTTATATTAATATGCATATATAACCCATGTATTCCATCTTCCTGTCCATTGTATGGGTGAATCTCTTGCTGCCCCCCAATGCAGGGGCAGCAAGAGGACAGGCTTTTTAAAAGGGACAGCGTGAGCATGGGTGCTGTCAGGATAGTTGGCTTAGGGTTAGCTTTTCCCTCAAATTCTTTCTTGTTAATGCAGAGTAATACTGTTCGGGTTGCAGAAGAAAGTTCATTTAAAAGAAATACTGGCATTGAGTTAAAAAAAAAGTCCTGGAAGCATTTCTATAGGTTTTAGGTTTTTAAATGCCTATTTTTAGGACTAGATGTCAGCTGACATAGCTCCTTTAAAAATGCACTTTGGATTCAAGGAAAGAAAATAGTGAAGCATAAGCTGTGAACCCTTAATTGTTAAAAGTGCAACAATAGCTTAAAACCAGCCTGCTCTCACAGCTGGAGGAAGGGGTACTTTATTAATAGTTGCAAGGAATGGGTGGATAGGGCCTGAAAGAGGCAGCAAGGGATATAAAAAGAAGCCTTGCAACACAAAACCATTGCCAAAACCCCTTAATGAACAATTTATGAAACAGCCTGCATCGCATAAGTATTGGGATAATACACGATGAACGCGATACAGAAGTCTCTGACCGACATGCCTTACTGAAAGTTAAGGTGCCCCAGCGCTGCACTCCAGCTGTGCCACGGTAGGTGGTTTGGTGGGCTGGAGATGAGCACATGTGGCTCGCTACTCAACAGCCTCCGTTTTCGCGACTCAAAATTTCTGGCTGGTAAGCCAGAGGTGATGGTTGTGGTGACTGGAGAGTACACTTGCTGAATAATCATCACACTTCAGTATTTTCTAATCTGTTATGTCCCTGAAACGTCCTTGCAGCTGATAGCCAAGCTGCTCTGCTAGTATGACCTGGGACAAATTAACTCCAAACACTCATTTCCTGGGGGAGGTAGCAGGGAAGATCCCTCTCTACAGAGATTTCATGTAACGGCAATCCCCTCCTCACCCCAAAATAAATCCCCAATTTAAGCACAACCGTGTGCTTTCTGTGGCCAGGAGCTGACTGCATGAGGTGTAAGGGGACTGCAAAATCGCCCTTGTTGCTCCAGCCCCTGTTGCAGGGCCTCTATGCTCCCAGGCCGCCTGGGTGCCCAGCAGTGCCGCGTCCCACATTAGGTTGTGACTGGCTGTTTGTGACAGCTCCAGACTACTGCAATTTTCCAGTTATTCCTTAAAATAAGTCCTTAGGTAACCACCAATAACCCCCAGAAGTTGGGAAAGCCTTGGAACCAGAAGGTCTGCAGTGCTGGGGAAGTTTTGATTTTGTCTGAAAGCATATATCCATAAAATCGCTTTAGCGCAGACTCCCTGTCCCATGCTGTGCTGACTCTGTGTGAGATCTGACATTGTTCTCTACTCTTGAATCACGAGAGCTGGGGGGAGGGAGGGAGAGGAAATATAAGCAAAAATCTGAGCCTGATTTTTACCATCATACAGATTTAATCCAAGTTGCCTGTGCCAATCATAATCCCTCCTTTCAGGTTTGTCCTTTCCATGTGGGTCAACGGCAACTCAATGCCTGATGCATCAAATCCAGAAACTTGCTGAGGCTGTCAGTATCCCTGGCAGCATCACACGGTGCAGATGACACTTATTTTGACTGTGGTACATGGCAAATATTTCTCAGGGCCAGTCTTTGCCTTGGGCATGGTATCAGTGTGGCCTCCCTGCTTCTCTACTGCTCCCCTCTGTTGTAGGTGTGTTGCACCGGTAGGAAGTGTTATTTGTCTTCACTTTAGTTTTAACCATGTTACTGGGTTTGTTGCTTTGCTTTTCCTAAAAGGATGTTTTCCTTTTTCATTATGATCTTAGCCAGCTTCACTGGAGTTGATGGGAATCTGTACCTGCTACTCTGCCGCAGATGTCCTTTCTAAAATATTTTGGTTTCTTTCTGTACGTGGTACCAAGCATAATGGGAGCAGCAGAGCTGCAGACGAGCTGCTGTGCTGTTTAGATTTGCCTTGGGTGGTATAAGCAATTAGCTAGTTATAAGACCAGCCCTGCATTCATGCTGGTATTTCTGTGGTCAGAAGTGAAGTAAAAATGCAAAAGTAGGTGTTGCTTGTGGCACTGCTGAGGAGAATTGGTGTTGCTAAGATGGGAGAGGAATTGCATTTCCATGTTTGGGATTTTGTTTTCTGGATTCTTTCTTTTTCCTATACCATCCAAGAGAAATGTTTAAGAGCTACCCTTTTACATGCTGTGTAGGAATTTGTCCAGTCTAGTCATAAAAACAGGGTGATTGCAACTGCATTCATTAATAACTTCCAGGGTGAGAATCTGTTATGGTAGACTTTGCAGAACCTGATCAGAAGGAAAGGCAAAGACAAAAGCTCTTTGTTGCAACCACTGATAAGATGTCTACCCACGGTTTTCTTATTAAAACCATGCTGGCATGTGACAGAAGGAGGGAGAACACCACTCCTCATCCTGTCCAAAGGGGTATATATTTATTATTTCTATTGGTACAGCCTGGAGTCTGGTTGTATTAGCTCCCTCTGCTCAGTTATGCCTTTGGTGAGAAAGTGCTCCCATTTTTTCATACATCCTACCCATGAATGCTTAAACATGGTTTAATTCCATGTTTCAGCTGCTCCATACTGAGATAGGTCCATCAGAATTTCCAGTTTGGTCCCAGGGATGTCTTCCTTACAGTTTTCTAAATGATGAAAAGTTGATGTTAGAAACGCTGCTAGCCATACATCTGATCCACAGAAAATATCACTTATGTTAATGGAAGTAATTCAACCTCCTTTGTTCTTTTTACTCAGTTTGGGTTTAAAGTGTGTTGAGCATCCCAGATGTACCAGAACACATTAATTGCTGCTGTACTTTATTACTGTTAGATTCCAGCAGAAACACCTCCTTTCAGGACCTACTCCTTTCTTATTAGACTGGAAAAAAACCCCAAACCGAAAGATGTCACATGAGACTGGAACTGTAGCCCATCTGTTGGGAGACTTCTTGTTGCTACAGGAGCGGCATGGTGATGCCATCCTTCTTGAAATAGCAGGGCTATTGCTTTCAGTGACTGAGGGATGTCCCAGTGAGCAGGGGCCCATACCCTGGTTTTTTTGAGGTAGGCAACTCTGAAAGTGAGGTTATTTTCCTGCCTTTCCTTTACTGTCCTTTTTTTCTACTTTCAGGCATCAGTTGCCTTCATGTGTCTTTTTTGTGCTTATAGTTACTAAAAAATGCAACTGGTTTGAGTTCCCCACCTAAGTAGCTTGACTGAGAGCCCATGATGCTTGCCGTTCCCCCTCTTCTTCAAAGCTAGACTATGGTTAATGAAAACTTGCAAGTGGTTTGTTTAATGCACTATTATTTTTTCGAGATTTTTTTTCTTCTCCCTCTCAGCATTGCAACCTCTGCAGCTTCCTTGTACTTTGTTTCTTTAAGTGTTATTCAGAGTAAAAAAATAATTTTACTCTTTACTTGGACTTTGAACCCTTTGATTGAAATCAAGCGAGCTTGCCTGTACTCAGCTGGTTAGGATCTTAAGAGCTTCTACTGTTTTTCTGTGTAGGAAGTGCTATAGCTGATTAAAGTAGATTTGGTCTTTTGTCTAATCCTCTAGATCAGCAGGTTAATTTGTGGTTTTTGATCCACAGCAGTATCACTAAGTTGTAAGGTATCACTGCAGTCTCCACTGCCATAGGAAAAGATGTAATGACACTGGGTTTAGCCAGGGTTTGTAAACCACAGTGATTCATACAAAATATATCTGAAATTAGATTCTGTGAGTGCAGCTAGGCTATTGACTGTCCTCAGTTCTGCAGAAATGGAGAAGATACAAAATGTGAAGTAGCGATGATTCCATCACTGTCTCCAAAACCAGGACTAAACATGATGACATATATATTTTTATATATATGTGTTTATATGACTATATACACACACATATATAAAATATGTATATTTACAATTCTGTACATGTTTTCCATCAGCTCTGGCCTCAATTCATTAAATTACTAATATGCATGCCTTATACTCCATATCAATACATGTGATAAATGTATGATAAAAATTAGACACAGGCAAAAATGCCTTGCAGAATTTGAGGTCTAAATGGCAAGATTTACCCCCTATGAATGCCTGCGGTGTAGTAATTTAAATTCATTCTTCTGCTGTCCTAGGAAGCAGTAGCTGCTCTAGAAAGCCCT